TATGTATATTTTACCCGCCTAATTATTATGTATCGTAGTTAACCCCTTTGAGCCTGTAATCCTGTTTCTTTGGCAACCACATTACAAGCCTTACCCATTTGTTCGAATTAACCATCTATTTGAACCATTGTAACCTCTCATGAGCACGTGAATTATTATGAACTATGTAAAAGTTAAAGTGTGGGGTGGTTGGTTTGGCTTTTGAGTGGAACTAATGAAATAAGGAGAAAGGTGCACTGTTTTGAAAAAGTAAGAGCTACTTGAATTGAAAAAAAAAATAGTTGGATTCTTGTGAAGAAAAAATTCCTTGATAAGTGGTGGCTCTTGATGTAAGTGTGCTTAAAGAAGAATGGGGTAATATACATTGATGTGAAGGTGGAGTTTTGGTTTGACATAAGTATGGGGTTTAAATGTTAAAATGTATGTATTAAAGTGCTTAGGGAGGTGTAGTCACTCTTATATCTAAATGTATCCTACCCGTCCCGTAACCTACATTACAACGAAATAAAGTCCTAATTGATCCAAGATTGAATGAGCTCGATTAGTGGAGTAGTACACTACGGGCAAGCTTATGGTGCATCTTTTGTGGCATATGAATGTTATTTCTGAGAGTGAGTGAATTCTTTCTATCTTGAGTTCCTAAGTGTTCTTAAATTTTATTGTGTGGAACTACTCTCCTTTGTTGTGTGAGGGCACTTGATTCATGAAGGAAAGGTAATGTCAGTGACCTCTATATTAGAGTAAGTGGGTGAGTTGTGAATAACGTGTGGTACTTGTGAGTCAAATCTTGAGGTGAAGATGTTACGCTTTTGTGCTTAGTCTATTTTAAATACTCTTGGTGTGATGAGTTAGGAGAATTGTTTAAAAATGTCGTGTCTATAAAAAAAAAGTTGTAGCTTGATTGCTCGAGGACGAGCAATGGTTTAAGTGTGGGGTGTTGATGATAGGCTATAATTGCATATTTTAGTCGCTTATTACACTCGAATTTATTGCACTTTAATTGAGTTTGTGCTTTAATCGCTAGTGTTTTGCACTAATTGTGTGTTTTATGCCTTGTAGGTGTGATTCTGAGCTATATAGATGTTATGGAATGAATTTAAGTGATTTGAAGATTTGAAGTCTGAGTAAAAGCTCAAGGAATTAAACCGGGATCGTGTTCGGGGGTCAAATTTGATAATTAAGTACGAACGAAGACTTGAGGAGGCATATTGCGCACTGTCTAGTAAAATAGATATAACTTTTTGCTCAGAACTCCATTTGGGTCCACAATATATGGTTGGAAAGCTAATTCAAAGGGCTACAACTTTCATGTTTTACATTTTTCCGAATTCGGAACGTAACAGGATGAAAAACGAGCAGACGCACGAAGGACGCGCGAAGTCGCGCATAGTTCGCGCGCTAAAAAGATTGAGGCAGAAAGGTGCGCGAAGACCGCACGAAGTCGCGCGTCTGACCCGGGAAAAGTGTCCTTTTTCACATTGGAGAAGGTATAATTGTTTGGGCCTAACCCTACTTGGTATATATACACGGGAGGACGCCACTTTGGGAGGATCGAACATATTTTTGGAGGAGAATTCACGTGGAGGAACACACACCACGCTTAGAGAGGATAGATTTGAGACATAGATTCGACCTAAGGAGGCAAGAACACATTGGGAGCAAGGTGGAGAATTCTTCTACGAGTTTTTCCTTCCTCTTCCTATTTTTCATTGTTGGTTATGACTTTAGTATTGTAGTTTTACATACTATTATGAATAGCTAATTTGTTATCTAGAGTTTGATAGAACCTTTTGTAGGATAAATTCTTGTTATGTTTTTATATAATTGAGCCATAGCTTTTCTCTATTTGTTCAACTATGTTTATATTCTGGTTGATTGAAGAGCTCTCAATTAGCTGTGCCTATTTAGTATGCATAACTCGGGAGAGAGTGCATATTTAGGTAATTGTTGAACAACACCACTCTTAGAGTATATGAGGGATCAATAACCGAGGGTTTAAAGGTGGGATTAGGGATAACGAAGCCTTGGGTGCGATCTGAAGTGAGCTGTATTAAAAGCCAGCTAGTGTAACTCGGGAGAGTGCGTCTAGTAAATTGTCGTAATTACTCCGGAGAGAGTTACGGTAATAAGAGTGCTCATGATCGGTAGAGAATACTTAGGCGAAATTATAGAAGACATAGCGGGAAGGATTCCGACAATAGGGGAAATCAGAACTCTAGACCTCCTTAATCTTTTCTCTAACCCTCAGTATCGTTAGTTGTTTATTTACTATTTTAATTTGTTAGTTAATTAGTTAAACAGAAGAATCTTAATATCCATAAGTTAGGAATTGTTCAAGCTTGTCTTCTTGGTGATAGTGAACAGCGGTAGCTAAACCTTAGTTCTCCGTGGGATTCGACTCCGGACTTGTAAACCGGATTATATTTGCAGCGACCGCTTAGTCCTTTTTATAAGCCATAGTTGGGCGTGATCACGCGCATACCCTGTAAGTTTGCAGTATGCCTTATAAATTTGTTTACTTTCTTCTCTTTCCGTTGTGAGATTCTAATAAGATGACATATGAACCCCTTCTTGAGAAGCTTACCATTCAAGAAGCCTGACAGTCCTATTGAACAGCACTTCATCATGGGTGTCACATAAAATTTCAAACATTTTACTAAATATGTATTCTCCACGGACAACTGAAAAAATAGATAAAGCCAAAAAAAAAAAATGTAATTATCACAGATTATTTAATCAATCCATAAGAATTTCCTTTTGAAATTGCAAGGAAAAACGAGTCAGGTCCCAACTAGCTATATATTTTGAATACACGAAAACGAAATAATTGAATTAATTTAATAGATAAAAATAACGACAAAGAAATTCCAACAAAAATTCAAGAACAAGAAGAGTTAAGACCTTATTCGAACATATATAATAATCAGTATATCAACCAATCACCTCGAACAAGAATGACTAAGAACCAGAGATATAAGTATTAAGAAGGAAAATAATTACCGTCAAGAATCATATCTGAAAGTAATTCCGAAATTCAATTAAAAAATTTTTTTTTTAACTTCTCAAGATGTTTATCAATCTCAAATTATTCATGTGTGTGTATGTTTAAAAACTCAATGTTTTTAGAGTCTATACATCTACAATTTTTCATAATGAAAAATAACTTTTGTCTCTGTATTTGTATAGTGTATTCATTTTCAAATTTCATAATCAATTGACATTTGTAATTTAAATTCAAATGTAACACACTCGGAGAAAATCAAGCTTATATGTTGTAACCATTTTTTCACATATTCCAAACATTTAAAATTTGAATTAGACACTGATGATATAAATCTCCACATTTGACTATGTCTTAGTTATTCAAACCAGGCCAGTTTTGAAATGGATATTTGCTAATGATCAAATTACTAGACTAACTAAATTTTTTGCATATTACATTACCTATTTGGATTAATTTTGTTCACATTTAAATGCTTATCAATATATTAGATTATTAAAAACCAATTACGAGTGATAATAATAATAATAATAATAATAATAATAATAATAATAATAATAATAATAATAATAATAATAATAATAATAAAGTTAGTAACATACTACAAGCGATTAAATTACAGTTATCGTATAAAAATACTTCATGATGTCAAAGCAATTAACTTAAATACTTAAAACAAATACATTTTTGATTCTCATCCCTTGCCTATATAAATGTGAAAACTAGCTAATACATAATTACTCTTTTGATTATCATATATTTTCTAATCTATCAATGAAATAGGATCTGATTTCCATCTTAACAAATCCCCGACCCTATTCAAAGGACCTTAATTCCCCAAAATGAAAAATCAGAAAATTGAAACAGAAAAGGAAAAATGATTATGATGATGAGACAATTACTTTCCTACTAATACTCAAAATATTTAACAAATCTAACAGTACATTTTGTTCAAGCATAAAATAGCAAAAAATGTTCAATATTACAAAGTGATGGTAAAAAAAAAAAAAACTCTTTTCATTTCATTTTATTTAATAATGTTTGATTTAGATACAAGATTTAAGAGGTTAATGCTACTATATTAGAGAGAGTGGAAAAATCAAAATAAAAAAAATGGTTAAAAGTAAGTGTGATAGAGAATATCATATCAAATTTAAAAATGTAATAAGTTAGATAATAAAAAATCTTAAAAATCGTGGAAGTGTAAAACAAATTTCAAACTTTTTAGAAGGTCGAAAATTGAAAAAAAAAAAAAAACTATACATGGCTCTTTTGGGTGACTTCTAAAATATGTTTATTTTGGATTCTTATTTTTAAAAGAAATTTTACGAAAGTACTTTAGAATATTAGTACTTAGCTTGTATTTCGTTTGAGAAACAATTTTGTTAATGTTAGAGTTATAATTTGAGTTTGGTCAATTTTCAAAAAATGCTTTTGACTGTCAAATTATGATTCGATACTTTAGTTAAGCATCTTAGATATGTATGGAACAAGAAAGGAGAGTGTGCGAGACGTATGAGATAAATTAAAAAAAAATATTGTAGTAAACATAAATTTTTGGTAAGATTATTTTTGTCATGAAACAATTAATTACAATCTTGCCTCTTTTTCAAAGATAAATGTCAATTGTTTGCTCTTTTTTTTTTTTTGTGGTTTCAACTATTATTAAAATCACTTATTTTTAAAAATTCGGTTAGACCCTTTTAACTCTCAAAAAATAAGATTTGTTTTTTAGAAAAGAAAAAGCAATTCTAATTTCTTAAAATCTTGACCAAAATAGTATAATAATGAAAAGATAGACCCGACGGAGTAATTAGAAAAAACTCTTTCATTTTCTTTTTTCTTTTTGGCATTTCAGAAACAGAAGTTTGAACTATGGACCATCCCGCTCTCACTCACCCCCCACCCACCCCACCTTCACTACCCACCCTACCCCTTCCACATCTACAGTGTTATATATGTATCATGACTCTCTCACTCTCACTCCCCCTCCCCCCACCCCAGCCCCCTGAAACCACACAGACGAGCTAGATTGATTGATCGGAGAATATAGAAACCCTAGCTCTGCTATCGAGGCACCTCCATTTTAACGGTGTCGTTAGCTCATAAGCTATTAAAAATGCAGAGTAAGCTCAACTTGTATATGTACAAATGAATATGTATATTGTACTAGTTGATTAGCTGCAATGTACCATAACATCGCAGTATTTTGCGACGAATAGTGGATTGTTTTTGAATTTTTGAAAATTTTTGAGCTCCATTTGTGAAATCCTGGAGGATTTGCTTTCGGATCTGTGAGCTTAGCGATATTCCTGAATTTTCCTAATTATTTGGAGTTTGGACTCTGGATTTATTAATTTAATATTTTTGGTTCTTGGTTGTAGTTTTAAAAAAAAAATATTTATGGTGCATTTTGTTGGCTTTTGAGGTTGAAAAGCTGTTTAATTTTCATTTTATGGTTACTTATAAAAATGATATAGATTATTATTTTCATTTTATTTTGTTCTTAGTTGTAGTTTTTACTTTCTAAAAATTTTATGGTGTATTTTGGTTATCTTTTGAGGTTGGAAAGATATTTAATTTATTTCTTTGGTTGCTAATGAAACAAATTTGATTTGCATTTTTTAATTTGTATTTTCCTATTTGTTGTTCTCATTTGAAAAAGCAATTTAAAATTTATGGTGCATTTTTTTGTTTTGAGATCTTAAAGCTATTTAATTCTATTTTTTCAGGTTGCTTTTGAAAAAAAAAATTGTTCTAATACTTTTGCTTTGCTTGTGGAACTAGAAGTTAGAAGGAAATAGAGTTTTGCAGTGGACTTGAATTTCCAATTGAAGAACATTGACGGATCTGTCGTGCCATTCTCAGAAAATTTAGGCTAACTTCTTATTTTTTAGTTTATTTGTGGATTTTTAAGAAAATCTTCGAGTATATCAAATTGAGTGATTTTTATAATTAAAAATTATCTGTTGCATTCAAAAGGGTAATTAAATTGCATAAACGTTGACTGAGATGAATGATATCTCTTGATTATTTGCTTTCTGTTTAATATAATACTAATATTTTAAATTTAGTATCTCATTGGTTGTCATTATAAAAAAAAAAGTATCTCACTTGTTGTCACCCTACATGTATGTATGTTCCCTCAAACTTGTCGTGGACCATAGAGGTGGATTATACACATATAGAGTCGAAGTCCAGCATGCACCAATTGCTTATATGTAGGGTCTACCTTTGAATGGATAGATGCTAAATTTTGAAACTGAATGACTTAATCTGCAGCAACAATGTATGAGTAGGTTACTTTGCATTAGTAGAACTTTCCGTGCGAATGCTATGTGCTATCTTTCCTTTTTAGACCGTAATGCTTAACTCATAAGTAAATGTTTGATGCAGGCTTGTTCCCTGGTTCAAGAGTACTATGACTGTTGCTTCTTATTTATATAAAGCTCTAGAATTGTGGTGGAACGCAATGCAGGTGAATTTCACTCTTTAAGATATAGGTGACTGTCCTACATATGGTGTCATTTTTAAAGATAGTCCGCTCTAGTTAGATCACACTTAGCAGACGCCCTTTATTCTTTCCTTGTAAAAAAAAAGGTTAGAATCACGCTTAACTAGAAGGTGGGAACATAAAAAGCATATGAGTCTTGACAGTTTGTTGTCGAATAGAGCATTAGATAAGCTCTTATCAATGGTTAGATGTTAGCATAAAGACTAGATGTTTGCTTCTCTCCAGATAATTTCCTTCTGCTTTTAATTAGAATATATGATTGTATATTCGCTTGTTATGTACCCTTGGTTGATAAAACGAGTCAAAGGGATTCTTTTGCCTGCTGCATTTGAAGATCTAGATTTCCGTTTTACTCTCTTACAGTCTTGGACCTCTTTACTTTAAGTGTCTTTTAGTAGATTGCTAGTGGGTGCTGGTGGTCATGCGAAAATGTAATACCATCTTTCGTGGAACAGTTTAAAGCGGATAAAGAAAGTCAGGAAAAAGATAGTCTGTATGAAAAGGTGGGTCTTTTTCTGTTTGTCATGGGTAAATCTACAAAACATAGTAACAAAAATAGCTTAGTTTGAAAATATTGACCGCACCTGACGAAAAGAAGAAAACAAAGTAATGACCGGTTTGTTCCTTTGTAGCTTCGTTTTGTTTTTGGTAAGACTGACTTTCATTATCTAAGTTAGTGAAAACTCCTCTAAATTTTTCACTAGTTCTTTACTTCCTTTTCCTAATCAATTTTATGCTTAAATGAATGCTACAATCAAACAAACATTATGAGGTTACATCAATAGTGTTGGCTATTCTGACTGTGTGTTTGTAGATGTTATTTGCTGCTTCTATATCAATAGCTCCATCTGGCATAAGTTGCATATAGTTAACTGGATAAGATGAATCCAAGTTCAAGTTACTGTACCAGTTCATAGTAGTTTCATGCTTTTTGATGAAAAGCTTCTCAATTCCCATTAGATCACATGCTGGTCATGTCAAAAACTGATCATGCACTAGTCATCTTCTTATCATGGTACCTGGGCACATTTATTTGCTTTACTTTAATGTACCCGAGCTTGCTGGTGAATGATATTGTCAAAGCCCTACATATTTATCTATATAACTGTCGTTTCTTTTTATTAGTTGTGTTTTCTTGCATTACATATATATTCTTTATTCTTTTTCTGTCTTTGGGCCCTTTGCTAAAGCCCCAAGACCTTCGACGTTCTCTTGCTTTTCACCTTTGACAACACTGCTGAAAAACTGTTTATGCTGTTTTCTAAAGTTCTATGATATGTCTTTTGAGATTAATGTTAAGTTCCCGCTTATAGGTCCATGTTACGCATTTGTTTCCACAGAATCGTTTTCTTAACACTTTTATGTGCCATTTTTATCTTTGGCTATTGAAAGTTTATGATGATGTAATGTTGGCTGTGCAGTTGTAGCCCAGATAATAGGCATATCACCACCTGGATCAATGAGGAATGAAAATATGACAATTGGATTTTCTAATCTTAAAGAGCCCACTATGCGAATCACAAGATCACGGGCAAAAGCCTTGGGTTCATCAGGAGGATTACCGCCTCGACACCCGTCTGTCAGACAGGATAACAAACAGGGACTGGGAGCACAGGGAACTAAGTACAAAAGATCTGCCTCGGATGAGAATAATCCAGTTACTACTTCTAGTACAGCCTGTCAACAGCCTAAGCGAAGGGCTGTTCTCAGGGATGTCACCAATGTGCTTTGTGACAATTCATACATGAATTGCATCAATAGAAGCAAATTTCAGGTGAGTTGTTTTTTTCGAGTTTCATTATATCATATTCGCTCTTTCATTCGAAATGAAATCACTTTGCTGGACATAATATTGGTTATTGAACTAGTGTCTTTGTTTCATCGAATGGAGCTTCAGTGGTGAATCTATTTCTTTGCTTCAATATTTATCAAAATGTGGCCAATGATGTCAACTTGTCTAATGGTGATAGGTTAAGAAATTCTCTGATAAGAGGAATTCAAAGGTGACACCTGCTATTTTGGTAAAAAGACTGCATCATGAAGATAGAAAAGAGAACACGATTGAAGAAGCAAAAGAAGTAAAGATCGAGAAATCACAAGAACACTGTTCACAAGCACGCTTCAAGGACCATACATTAACTCACCCAAGTAAATATATCACTCCAGCACAGTGTGGTTTTGTTGATCTTATGCCTGTGAATAGGAGTTTACCTACAGGCATTGCAGTCCCGAATACAACAGAAAAAGGTACGATATTGTGTGCTATCATGCAAGATTTGAAGCCTTCGAATATTCTGATTTATTCACTCTTTTGAAGTAGTCTGAAGTGCAACTGTCATGACTGAGCTGTGTCTGCTCCTTTTAAGTTTGAAAAAAAAATCTGGTTTCTGTTCCAATCTGTGATAATTGTTGCCTGCTTGTTCATAGGGACCAACAACTAATATACTTGTTAAGTGTAACTTTTCTGGAAACTTTATCATTTGAATAGTTCTACCAAGATCGCTGGGACTGCCAAAAAGTTTATATTTATATGAAACACCGTTGAATCTGATCCTAATGTGAAAGGTTCTGATGGAACCGCATGCAATTCTCTAAGAGCGCGAGAAGTTCTGTAATGATATATGTTTTCGTTAGTAGTACAAAACTGTTTATGTCCCTTTGTCTAACTCAGATATCTCATCATCATTACATTAGGTATCGATTTGAATTCAATGTTATAATTTTGATCGCAATCTCTTGAATAGAAGTTTGTAATGACTTTATTCACTGCATTTTGCATTATATTAAATCTCAATTCAGTAGACTCTTTCTTTTCCCTGTTCCTCATGCGCCCTTGTTCTGTATGGCTGCAACCTTAATTGCTCTCACAGACAAATACATAGAATTAAACTGTAACTAAGATAACTATGCAAAAAAGAATGAGTTTAAGATAATTAACTTCTAAAGAGAGATCTTGCTCACTTGAATGTGTTGTATCTGACTCGTAGTACCATCAGTAGAAATGGAGATCTTAGAATAACTGGAAGTAAAGAGACAATGTAGTGCACACAACGGAAAGGGTGAAGAAACCAATTGAGTGCATACTACCTTACTAGTGACACGTGTTTGTGGTTTTAAGGGAATAGGTATTTTATGTATCCATTATAAAAGGCGTAATGTGTCAGTTCACAAATGAATAAACTGCAGAAACCTTTTTCCAGAAAGGTAAAAAGCAAATTGTTGGCAGGAAAACTTATTAATCTGGCTGATCTTTTGTCATTGCTTGCAACATTTAATCATCTAATTTGCATGAACACATTAATAGTTCTGAAAGGATATCTTTCTATTTGATATGTTTTTCCTGGAAGGGCCTTATTTTGTTTCTGTTTCATTGTGCAGATGAAACCAAGGTTTGCCAGAAACAAGAAGGCTCCTATTCTCTTGTTATAGCAGATATAGATTCAAAGCACAAGGATCCACTAATGTGTAGTCTATATGCTCCTGATATATATAGCAATTTGCATGCCATGGAGGTTTGTGTGCATTCCTGTCACTACTTTGAAAATGACTGACGCACTGCTGATAAGTCTAGTGATAGCATCAGCAACTGTAACCATCTAAACAACATCAACCTAGTGTTGCTCAGCAACTGTAACCATCTAAACAACATCAACCTAGTGTTTCCGTTAGTATTTGATTAAAAAAATATTATCATGGATAATTACAATGCAATAGTTTATCTTTTAAGCACTTTTTCTGGCAAGGGAGTGAAATAGGTTTTTATACTTCTGAACAAGTTTAAGAGATGCACCCTTCCCCTTTCTTTGTCAACCTAAGGAGGACCACTTGTTAAGAAAAAAGCTTTCTATTTCTCAATTACTCAAAGACATTTTCTTCTCACGAACAGCTTGACCGACGGCCTTCATTTAATTACATGGAAAAGCTGCAGCGGGACGTTAACAAGGGTATGCGAGGTATTCTAATTGATTGGCTTGTGGAGGTCAGTTAGCTTACTTGATACTTTTACAATGCTTAATATTATGTGAAAGAGTATCTTAAGCAGTATTTTGTTGTTCTTAATAAACAAAATGTTCTCACATCTTTTTCCCCTACCTAAGTTTGTGATAGTAGATAACCTTTTTGTTTATTTCTTTTACTTTGATCTTTTGATGAAGAGAGAATTACAAGAAAATACACGTAACTTCACACCATAATAAAAATGGCCCATGTTTTTAAGTTTTACCCGACCTAGCCCATATTTTACATATTTTGAAAGCTAGTGCAAATATAAAATCTGTGTTCTTACAACCATTACTTCTAAAAGCTATGGAGTTAAATCTATGTTCTCACAACCATTGCTTTCACTCTCTCTTCTTCTCACATCTTTTACATATGCTTCAAGGGGACGTCCGCTATTATTGCTTCTCCCCCTGTGTCACCTGGTTGCAATGTAAGAAAATTGAAGAGTAGAAGTCCATCATTGAAGGCCATTCAAAGCTTTACTTTCGAAAATAGTATTTTTTGAGTTTGTTATAGATTGGATGTTGTTCCAATTGATTGAAACTATCAAAAGGAGTTCAAAAATTAAATTTGAAGTGATTTGGAGTAGATTTGAGCAAGTTTTGAGTTAAATTTCAGAAAAGACGCAAGGAAGAAGACGAAGTCAGTTTTTTGTATAATTATGTATAATCTTGTATAATATTGTATATGAGTGTATAAACACATCTTATACACTATTATACACCTTTATACAAGCGTTTGTAGACGAAATTCTTCCACGATTTTCAGTTGCAATTCTTGTTCAAAACCAGTCCAAATCTCCATTAACAACAACAACAACAACTACCCAGTAAAGTCCCACATAGTAGGGTCTGGGGAGGGTAATGTGTACGCAGACCTTACCCCTGCCCCGATAGGGGCAGAGAGGTTGTTTCCGATAGACCCTCGGCTCAGAAAGACAAAAATAAAGTAAGAAAAAACAAGAGGAGAGAAATCATTAGTAACTCCAGTGGAAATCGTAATAATAACAGAAACATAAAAACCGAAAGATGAATGACATGCAATAACAGTAACCATAATCTAAGGCCCCGGGCTAAGACAAACAACAAGAATGGTGTGGGTCCAACATAAACTGCAGGCCATCTAAGACCAACCCTAATCCAACCCCGCCTCACCCCCGGAATGAAGTAAGGAAAGCTTTACTACCCCTATCCTACAACCCTAATGCGTGACCTCCAGGCCTTCCTATCAAGGGCCATGTCCTCGGAAATGTGCAGTCGTGCCATGTCCTGCCTGATCACCTCTCCCCAATACTTCTTAGGTCTCACTCTACCTCTTCCCGTACCCACCACGGCTAACCTCTCACACCTCCTCACCGGTGCATCGAGGCTTCTCCTCTGCACGTGCCCGAACCATCTGAGCCTCGCTTCCCGCATCTTGTCATCCACAGGGGCGACGCCCACCTTCTTCCGAATATCTTCATTCCTAATCTTGTCTATCCTAGTGTGCCGGCACATCCACCTCAACATCCGCATCTCTGCTACTTTTATCCTCTGGATATGAGAGTTCTTAACCGGCCAACACTCTGCCCCATACAACATGGCCAGTCTAACTACAGCTCTATAAAACTTACCTTTGAGTATCGGTGGCACTTTCTTGTCACACAAGACTCCAGATGCAAGCCTCCATTTCATCCAGCCCGCCCCTATGCGGTGAGTGACGTCCTCGTCGATCTCTCCGCCCCCCTGAATCATCGACCCAAGGTACTTGAAGCTATCTCTCTTGGGGATGACATGTGGCCCAAGCCTCACGTCCCCGCCTACATCCCTCGACTCAGCGCTAAACTTGCATTCCAGGTACTCTGTCTTAGACTTGCTCAATTTGAAACCCTTAGACTCGAGAGTCTGTCTCCAAACCTCCAATCGCTCGTTAACACCGGCCCTCCATTAAATGACTTCAAATTTTATATACAACCTCTTTATACTATTTCTAACAAGTCTCTATAACACCCACTCCAAATTTCTCACAAAATCAAATTCGGAATTTAAACCCACATATTTAAGCTTGTTAAAATCTATTTTTTCACCACCCAAATGAATTTGGTTTGCTGAGCTAATATATTTGAGTCACGGTTACTGATTCGAAAATTACCTTTAAAGCTTGAGCAATCTTTTTAAAAATTAAATAGTAATTTCGAAAACCTATTGGAGCTGGATGTTGAATCTTAGCCTATTAGTTTTGGGCTAGTTGGTTGTAAATTGAAATATGGGCTAAAAAATTGAAAAGTAGGGAGCCCAGTTGTTCTTATGTGAAATTTTCCCTTTGATGAATGGTTCCTTTTCCGAATGCATCATCAACTGAATATTTGCTTTACATTCAAGCATTATTATCTTGTTCAACTTTTATGTTTTACTTCTCCTTTTCTCTTTTGAGATATTTCCTGAAGATAACAGGTTCTTTTCTTCCTGAAAGCATATCATTGGATGTTAGTTATGACAGGATCTTTCATATTTGGTTTGGTTCGCTGATAAGTTATGTTGCGATTGTAAGCGGTAGTAATAACTAAATTATATAGTACATATACATATTTTGTTTTTTGGTTTATTGAATCATAAATTAGATGCGAGATTGTAATATGAAACATGTGTATGGTTTTAAACTTGATAAATGTTTGTTCCAGTAATACCCTTGGGGGTTGTTTGGTTGGAGGGGTTAGGAAAAATAATTACAGCATATTATCACATAAAGTAATACAATGTTTGGTTGGGGAGATTAGAATAAGTAATCTCTGCATAACAAAATGTAGTGTTTGTTTGGCAGTATAAGAATCCCTGCATAACTAATGTTTGATTGACGGTTTTAAATAATAAATATAGATAGGCGTCTTTGGAACAAATTAAAAAGGAAATAGTGTCACATAAGATGGAATGGAGGCAGTTTTATTTATGCAAGAGATGAAAATGGCAACCAAAACATTCTATTAGTAATCGGATTTTAATGCTGGAATTGTTTTTTCTTACTGGGAATCAAACCAGCCTTTACGCATATTGCCATAGTCATTTATGCATATTGATAATAGCACTGGCCTATGGAACTCAGACTTACTTTTGATTAGCTCTTTTCCTACTTGTCAAGTGCTTGGATATTGTTTTTCTTGCATCACGATAAAAATTGTATCTGTTGACCATCAATCTTGTTCCCTCTCTTGCAGGTTTCTGAAGAATATAGGCTGGTTCCAGACACACTTTACCTGACTGTACATCTCATTGATAGGTTCCTCTCTGAGAATTACATTGAAAAACAAAAGCTGCAGCTGCTCGGAGTTACCTGCATGCTAATTGCTTCGTAAGTAATTTTCATTTGTGACAATCATATCAAGGATGACCATTGACCAGTCAAGAAGGTCTTTGCACTTCCTTTATTCATGTTTTCCTGTTGAATATTTTCTTAATGTAGTCTAGTAATGATTGATAGATTTGAAGGTTATAGGGTAAACTAAAATGTTTTTACATATTTGAATTTGTGAATCACATAGATATCCCTATATTTTCCATGGGAGCTTGTGGGAAATAGAGCCTTCTAACTTAGTTCTTTTATTCTTTTAACTTGTATGTGCATGTGCTTTACAATAAGGTGATGAGCTCTTCCGAATTTTAAGAAATTCTTTATAGCTTCAGAAAAGAGAAACTAGCCGAACTTCCATCTGCATTTTTTCATTGGGTTTTTTCTGCATCATATAATCTTTTATCTTGATTTTGTGCTTCCAGCAAATATGAAGAAATTTGTGCCCCTCGTGTGGAAGAATTTTGCTTTATTACAGACAACACTTGCTCAAAAGAAGAGGTATGCTCATTCAAATGCTGATCTCTTTTTAGATTTCTTTATCATTATGGAGAATGATGTACATGAAGATGGGCTATGTAATAAAGACAGTTAAATAACCTTAGTTTTGATTAATGTAAGATCATGTGTCATTTTTTTTTTTTTTTGCTTATTTGAGTTTATTTTCCTGTTTGCGTAGGTCATTAGTAACCATCTCCAATGTTTGGTTACTCAATGTTGGGCTCTCATGTTATGTTATCCTGCTCCTGATGTCCATCACTGGGCGTGCTGGGAGTTCTAGAGGCCCATATTGGTTGAGAGTATAGGTTGTAGCTTCTTAATACGGTTTTGACACATGAGCTAGTTCTTGGGGTTAAGCCCCTAGGTCCGATATATTATTCTGTATCGTTATGAATCCCAACTATTCTTTCAGAATTTGTCCTGGTAAATCAATAATAGTAAAAAACCTGCTTCTTCATACTCTAACGCTAGTTCTTTTGACTGCCATTCCAGCAAAGTCGCTCATCCTACAATTTTTTCTTTTGCTGGTTTGAACTAAATTGACTAGCATATTCTGCTAATCTTCTGTTAGACGAACTAGCTAGATTGTGTCATCTAGCTCTTAGCTTTCCTTTATTTTGACGATATATTGGATGCATTCTTGTTCCTACTTGAGCAATTATCTGAGCATTTTCCAGAATGTTTTTCTATGTCTTCTATGATATGACTTAAAGTTCCTTCTGGATGTGAAAAGGCTAATATATCGAATGTCAGGTAGTAAGAATGGAAAGTCTAGTACTGAATTTTTTGGGCTTTCAACTTGCTGCTCCGACCACTAAAAAGTTCCTGAGGTACCTCCTACAGCTAGCATTATATGCAAATTTTACTCATGTTACTCCTGAGAGCAGGCTCCTTATTTGTGCCATTGTTCTTTGTTTTAGGAGATTTGTTCAAGCAGCACAAGCTTCATATGAGGTAGATGAGATAGCATTCTTGCTTTGGTTGAGTCCTAGAAAATGATACTTATATGACCAAGTAAAAATTGCTCCAACCTGCAGGTTCCCTCTGTTGAACTGGAATTCATGGCAAACTATTTAGCAGAGCTAACACTTGTTGACTATAGTTTTCTTAAGTTTCTTCCGTCTATTACTGCTGCATCGGCTGTATTTCTAGCCAAATGGACACTTGATCAATCTAACCACCCATGGGTATGCAGCTTTTTTGCTCCTTTGATCTTATCTGTCATTCTCTTTGCAATTGTAATGCAACCACGAAATGACTATGGAAATGGTTTGCAGAATCCAACTTTGGAGCACTACACTAGGTATACAGCGCTAGAGCTGAAAACCACAGTTCTTTTGCTGCAAGATTTACAGCTGAACACCAGCGGAAGCACCCTAAATGCCATTCGGGAAAAGTATAGACAACCAAAGGTAAGTAACTGTATCAGAACCTTATTTATTCGTTTTGCTAATCTAGGATATGCAAAGATGTTCACACAAATGGGGGAACAAAAATGTCCACCTTTTCAGCTTCAAACATAATAGAACTTCATTCTTTTTTCAATGAGTATGAGTTTAAAGAAAGCATCAACAATTTGTTTATTATAATAAAAATACATAAGATACTATCTCTTTTTTGTACATTCCACATATATCAGCTGTTTATCATTTTAGTGTAATGAAGCTTTCATTTGTATTTCAGTTCAAGTCCGTGGCAACTTTATCGTCTCGGGAACCAGTCCAATCACTGTTCTAAGCAATGCTGAAATTAACTCCAGTTGGCCAGTTCAAGTTTAGCACATCCATTGTTGCTTTCTCATGCGAAAAGACATTAATCTTTAACATACAATAAACTATCATTCCTGGAACTCATTCTTCTGTTCATTCCTCCGTCAACTTTCAACCAGTATGTATCGTCCTACCATGTTCGTGCACTAGCAGACTGCAGGTGCTGCAGAAACATGGAGACTTCAATGAAGTGAAGGCAGTAAGTTAAAAGAAATGGCAATGTAAGAAGTAACTTAACAGCATTTCAGGTAGCTACTTGCTATCATGTATTTGGAGCTGTTTGAAAGCTCTTGTTGTTAAATGGTTCCAACTATGACATTTCTATTCTTTCGGCTAAATAAATCCGTTTTCGTACTAGATACAAGTTTTATTTTTGTTAACGTGGCTGTTAGGTGTTTAGGGGTAGTTTGCAATGGTGGTGGGGTTGGTGGTGCGTTGTGCTTTTAAAACTGCATGATTGGACCCTTTCGAGCAAACAAGAGTGTGAAACCTGAGGGGCATTGGTTTGCTGACAAAGTTATGCAGAGATTATAGTGTGCATGGCATGCAATACAAGGGTTAATAAGCACGGATTATTTAGCGGATATGCTTTTCTAATGAATGTTTTGTTCATTTAGTGGCGTCAATATGGGCTTGGCCCATTGGGCCAGCCCAGCCCGGCCTGTGATTTAGCATGGTTGGGCTCGAATTTTTGGAGCCATTTAAAAATGAGGCTTTTAAGCCCGCCCGAATAAGTCTGTGGCCTGCGAGACTTGACTGAGGTTGGGCTGGGTTGTGGGCCTACTAAAATATTTATTTAAAATATATAAAAAATAAAAAGTATACTGCCTCTAGAGATGGAAAGTCAGAATTGGATCTTTACTAAGAGGAACCAAAACTTGATTTTGAAAAATTTCAAGAGATGGATGTTGTCATGTATTGGAGGGACCATTCTAGAAAATATCTCGATCTTTCAGTGATGGCGTGTGATTTACTAAATATTCCTGTTACCATTGTAGCATCGGAACCAACATTTAGCATTGGTAACGTGTTCTTACAAAGTACAAAAGTTGCATTTATTATGAAAATGTCCAAACAATTATTACTACTTGAAATTGGCTGCACAACTTTTTCCAAACTCAAACTGGTAATATTTTTTTTTATGTGAATTTGAATATTATTAGTTTTTAAAATTTAATTATTCTTAAGATTGAACTAATTAATATTACATATGAATTGTAGATGAAAGTGAAGATGTTAAGATAACCTTGTCACAAGCGGATTTAAATGTGTTTGATGAAGATGATGTGTTGGATATCTCATAAGCGCCATGGACGTTCTTTTGAATAGTTTGTTTTGAGTTTTGACTTTTAGTTAGTGAAAGGGATTTTTTCATACCTATACAAAATTAGAAACTTTATTACAAAAAATGTCCATGTTTATAATTACCCGACCTACCCATGTTTAGTCTACAAAATATATACATTTATTTAAAATAGAATCCTTTCTGCATTAGCCTTCCTTTTTTAGACGCGGGAAATTTGGATCACAGAGGATTCTTCCGCGAATTTACTGACGCAATCTTTGCAATTTAATTAAGCCTGCTATTACGCAGATTTACTCTCATCAACGTCGCACAATCAAGTTCAATACTCTGATTTTCTCTATCTCGTCTGGTTTCAAAATTAGAAACGAAAATCGGCGGAAAAAATTTGCAAATAATTATCTTCAATTGTATTAAATTCCGCGATATGATGACAAATTTAGCTATTATACTTCAGCTAAATGGTCATTGGGATAGCTTTGGGATGTACAACGATTTTAATGTTGATGGAATTGTAGTGAGCGAGGATTCAAATTACAATCAATTGAATTCTGCAATTGCAGAGCATCTAATGATCAATACCTTTGAGAAAATCATCCAAATCAAGTACACTGTCAATGAACGTTGTCCTCCAATGGAAATTAGGAACGATATGGGAGTTCGAATATGTAACGACCCCGCCGGTCGTTTTTTGGAATTTACGCCCCGATCCCCTATTAACTGCTTCCCCCGAGTCTATTTCTGCTATTTTGATTTGCCGGGATGTTCGGTTTTAAGTTCCGGAGAGTTTTGGGACACTTAGTCCCTAAATGAGAGTTTAAGTGTTGGAAAGTTGACCGTAGTCGGAACAGTGTGAAGATGACATCGGAATGGAAATTCGATGGTCCCGTTAGCTCCGTTGGGTGATTTCGGGCTTAGGGGCGTGGTCGGATTGTGTTTTGGAGGTCTGTAGCTAATTTAGGCTTGAAATGCCGAAAGGTCGAATTTTGAAGTTTCCGGTTCGATAGTGAGATTTTTATCCGAGGGTCGGAATGGAATTTCGAGAGTTGCAATAGTTCCGTTATGTCATTTGGGACGTGTGTGCAAAATTTCAGGTCATTCGGATGAGATTTGATAGACTTTTTGATCGAAAGCGTATTTTGAGAAATTTGGAGTTCTTAGGCTTGAATCCATGGTTAATTTGAGGTTTCGATGTTGTTTTAGGTGTTCTAAGGATTGGTACAAGTTTAGGGAGTGGTATTAGACTTGTTGGTGCCTTTGGTTGAGGTCCCGGGGGCTTCGGGATGATTTCGGATGGTTGGCGAGAAATTTAGTAGATGTTGCAGCTGCTGTATTTTTGCTGCTTCTAGTATTTTCGTATAGCGGCTAAGTGGCCGCAGAAGCGAAATTTGGAAATTCCTCAGGAACCGCAGATGCGGTAAGTTGATCGCAGAAGCGCAATCGCTCCTACGGTTAGAGTTCCGCAGATGCGGAATCTGGCATTTAAATGGAAGTGGCAGATGCGACGTAGTTTCCGCAGAAGCGGGACCGAAAATGCGGTCCCAGGGCCGCAAATGCGGGAATCGCTGGGCAGAACACATAGATAGTTGCCTTTGCGAAATTGAGTCATTCTTTCACCATTTTCATCCGGGTTTGAAGCTTTTGAGAGAGATTTTTGAGAAAACAAAGGGGAATCGCTTGGAGGTAACGTCTTTGACTTCATAACTCATTTTTATGTGATTAAAGACCTAATTAGTGATGAGAAATTTGGGAAAAATGGGTAATTAGGGCTTGAGTTTAAGAGGCCTTTAAATGAGGATTTGAGGGGCCATTTGGACTCCGATTTCAGTGTTCTTATTATGTTTAGACTCGTGAGTGTACGAGGTTTCTGAAAATGTAAATTTTGTCCGGTTCTGAGACGTGGGCCTGAGGGGCGTTTTGGTCATTTTACCTAATTTTGCGTATTAGCTTAGAATTTAATTATAGAATCAGTTTACTTGAGGTGTTATTTACAATATGCAATTGAATTGAATAGATTTGGGCCATTTGGAGTCAGATACTCGTGGCAAAGGCGTGGTTTCGGGTTGACTTGCACTTGTTCGAGGTAAGTGGCTTGTCTAACCTGTGTGGGTGACCTTTTCCCATTAGGATTGATATTTTGGTAATTGAAATTCCTCGTACGTGAGGTGACGAGCGCGTACTTGTGCTAATTGTTGGAAATCCAGTTTTCTTTAAGTACTTATTAGTATGTTTCTTCTCCTGCTTTTATTACTTGTACTATTAAACCTGCTATAGCCTAGAGAAGCATGTCTACTTGACTAAATTACTCTATTCGCCTTAACTGCCTTAATTGTATTACGTGAATCATGCTAGGTTAGGATTACCTGCTTCACTTTGATATGCAATTGATTGGATTGAATTCTTGTTGTTGCTGCGTATTATTTACTTTGGGACTACGGGACGGTATCCCGGGAGCTCCCCTGTATGTTTACTTTGGGACTACGGGACGGTATCCCGGGAGCTCCCTTGTATTTTTACTTTGGGACTACGGAATTGCATTCCGGGAGACCCCCCTGCACTTTATGAGATGGACTACGGGACTGCACCCGGGAGATCCACTGGATATGATATTTATATATGGGAACTACAGGACGGTATCCTGGGAGATCCCCGGTTGTTATCTTGGAGCTGAGTTGTGTCTCTTTCTGTGTCTTACTTGCCTTTGTAATAGTTGTTGCTGTCCTTCATATTCTGTGACTTATTTACACTGTTTATTCGCACTGTTAAACTTTATGTTCTATTTAACCTCAGTAGGGCCCTGACCTTCCTCGTCACTACCCAACCGAGGTTAGGCTTGGCACTTACTGAGTACCGCTGTGGTGTAATCATGTCCTTCCTGCGCATGTCTTTCATGTGCAGATCCAGGTACTTCGACTCAGTCTTACCACCCCTGAGGCGAGGCGACTGTTATAGCGAGTTGAGGTATATCGGCCGCGTCCGCAGACCGAGGAGTCTCTTCTATTCTTGCTGTTTAGTATTAGCCCTTCTGTATTTCAATTCTTGTTAGACATTATGGAGTTAGAACTATGTAGTATTTCTTAGCTTGTGATTCATGGGTTTCCGGGTCTTGGATTATATGTTGGTTTGAGAATTAAATATGGTGTATGCCGAGCGGCACATTTAAACGCTGTTTATTCGTTTATTTCTATTTTAAATTGTTTTACTTCCGCAAATTTTGGTTTTCTTCCGCAATTTAGGCTTTCCTAGTCGTAGAGACTAGGTGCCGTCACGATGGTTCACGGAGGGTGAATCGGGGTCGTGACAAGTTGGTATTAGAGCTCTAAGTTCATAGGAGTCATGGATCACAAGCCGGTTTATTAGAGTCTCGCTGATCGGTACGGAGACGTCTGTACTTATCTACGAGAGGCTATGTAACTGTTAGGAAAAAAAAATTCAACTTCATTTGAGTTCCTTGTCGTGCGAGATTTTTGATATCCCAATTCTAATCTTCTGTCTTTCTATTCTCTCACAGATGGTGAGGACACGTGCTACCCGAGATNATTGTATTACGTGAATCATGCTAGGTTAGGATTACCTGCTTCACTTTGATATGCAATTGATTGGATTGAATTCTTGTTGTTGCTGCGTATTATTTACTTTGGGACTACGGGACGGTATCCCGGGAGCTCCCCTGTATGTTTACTTTGGGACTACGGGACGGTATCCCGGGAGCTCCCTTGTATTTTTACTTTGGGACTACGGAATTGCATTCCGGGAGACCCCCCTGCACTTTATGAGATGGACTACGGGACTGCACCCGGGAGATCCACTGGATATGATATTTATATATGGGAACTACAGGACGGTATCCTGGGAGATCCCCGGTTGTTATCTTGGAGCTGAGTTGTGTCTCTTTCTGTGTCTTACTTGCCTTTGTAATAGTTGTTGCTGTCCTTCATATTCTGTGACTTATTTACACTGTTTATTTCGCACTGTTAAACCTTATATTCTATTTAACCTCAGTAGGGCCCTGAACTTCCTCGTCACTACCCAACCGAGGTTAGGCTTGGCACTTACTGAGTACCGCTGTGGTGTACTCATGCCCTTCCTGCGCATGTTTTTCATGTGCAGATCCAGGTACCTCTACTCAGGCTTACCATTCTTGAGGCGAGGCGATTCTACGGGACTTCGAGGTATATCTGCCGCGTCCGTAAACCGAGGAGTCTCATTCTATTCCTGCATCTAGTGTTTAGCCATTCTGTACTTTATGTTCTTGATTAGACATTCCGGAGTTAGAGCTATGTAGTGTTTTTCTCAGCTTGTGGATTCGTGAGTTTTCGGGTTTTGGGATAGTGTATCAGATTGTGAAAAGTTGTGTGTATATGCTGAGCAACATTTAAATACTATTTCTTTCAGTTATTCGGCTTTTGATTATTTATTCCGCAAGATTTGTTTATTTCCGCATTTGTTAGGCTTACCTAGTCGTAGAGACTAGGTGCCGTCAGGATAGTTCACGGAGGGCGAACTGGGGTCGTGACATATACATGGAGACCAAAAAGGAAAACAGAAGCTTAGGAATGTATCCGCTATGTATAACAGTGCGTGATTTCAATTTGGAAAGCAGTATCTCTAATACGAGCACAATTGCAGGTTTGCTCTGTATTTTCAGTGGTGATGTTCTGTCAGTTCGTTGTTTTCTATAATTATTCTACACAATATTTACAATAATACAACTAACAAATGTAGTTCAACTGTTATAGCTTTTGAAGTATTCAATTTCAATTGTTGCACAATTCTACTATAAATTAGCTACAATATATTTCTGAATTGTATATACTTTTAATTAAGTGCAAGTTTATTTGGAACAATGCTGTTGATCGATAGGCCAACATCTCCCTCGGTTGTGGAATATGAAAGTAACATCATAACAGAACATACACCAAATGTTATTGAAGTATGCCAACTCTACAAAGACAAGCGAATAATTGTCAATGCAATGAAGCACTATTCTGTCATGAATAAGTTCCAATTTTGGGTGAAGAGGTCTAACGCAAGAAGGTAGGAACAATTCAATTGTCAAATTCATATTTTTGTTTATTTTGTAGTTGTTGGGTATTCTTTTATTTATAGGTAGTACTTTCTTTGTATATAATTGTTAATAAATTTGTAGTTTTTTTGTAAATAAATTGTTTAATATAAAGTTTTTGTGCTTACACTGCCTATTATTTTGTAGCTACATTTTTTATAACAATTTTAACTTGTTTTTTTCCTGTAGCTACTGCTTGGTTTGTGTTGGGGACAATTGTACATGGCAATTCAAGCCAACCAGCATAAACGAATCAGCATTGTTCAAGGTTCGAAAATTCAACAGCTTGCACACATGCTCTTTGATGGACAATACACACATACAATGCAAAGCAACTGCCATGGTAGTTGGCAGCATGGTGATGCCAGAATATACGGATCCTAAGACAATATTGTCACGACCCCAGTTCGCTCTCCGTGAACTATCGTGACGGCACCTAGTCTCTACGACTAGGTAAGCCTAACCAATGCGGAAACAAACAAATCTTGCGGAATAAATAATCAAAAGCCAAATAACTGAAAGAAATAGTATTTAAATGTTGCTCGGCATATACACACAACTTTTCACAATCTGATACACTATCCCAAAACCCGAAAACTCACGGATCCACAAGCTGAGAAAAACACTACATAGCTCTAACCTCCGGAATGTCTAATCAAGAACATAAAGTACAGAAGGGCTAAATACTAGATGCAGGAATAGAAAGAGACTCCTCGGTCTGCGGACGCGGCAGATATACCTCGAAGTCCCGTAGAATCGCCTCGCCTCGAGAATGGTAAGCCTGAGTAGAGGTACCTGGATCTGCACATGAAAAACATGCGCAGGAAGGGCATGAGTACATCACAGCGGTACTCAGTAAGTGCTAAGCCTAAGCTCGGTTGGGTAGTGACGAGGAAGGTCAGGTCCCTACTGAGGTTAATAAGATATAAGGTTTAATAGTGTGAAATAAACAGTGTAAATAAGTAACACAAGATATAAAGGTCAGCAACAACTATCACAGAGGCAAGTAAAACACAGTAAGAGAATACAGCTCAGCTCCAAGACAACAATCGAGGATCTCCTAGGATACCGTCCTGTAGTCCCCAAATATAAATATCATATCCAGTGGATCTCCCGGGTGCAGTCCCGTAGTCCAGCTCATAAATGCGCGGGGATCTACCGGAATACCACATCCGTAGTCCCAAATATAAATACTCAGTATTGGGGATTCTACCGGGTGCAATCCCGTAGTTCCAATGTAAAAGTGTAGGGGGATCTCCCGGAATGCAATTCCGTAGTCCCAAAGTAAACATACAGGGGAGCTCCCGGGATACCGTCCCGTAGTCCCAAAGTAAATACCCAGCAGCAACAAGAACTCAATTCAATCAATTTCAGACCAACGTCAGACAGATAATTCTAACCTAGCATGCTTCACGTAATACAAATAAGGCAGTTAAGTCAAATAGAACAATTTAGTCAAGTGGACATGCTTCTCTAGACTAACAGCAGGCTAAATTTCCAAGTAGTGTAAGCAAGAAAGGAAGGACACAATCCAAGGCTATTTTTGATGAAATAAAAATCGAATTTCCAACAATTAGCACAAGTACGCGCTCGTCAACTCACGTACAAGGCATTTCAGTTATCACAATATCAATCTTAAGGGGAAAGGTCCCCCACGCAAGGTTAGACAAGCCACTTACCTCGAGCAAGTGCAAGTTAACCCGAAACCACGCCTTTGCCACGAGTATCCGACTCCAAATGGCCAAAATATATTCAATTAAATTTCATAATGTAAATAACACTTCAAGTAACTAATTCTATAATTAAGTTCTAAGCTAATACGCGAATTTAGGTAAAAATGACCAAAACGCCCCTCAGTCCCACGTCTCGGAATCGGGTAAAATTTATATTTTCGGAATTCTCATACTCTCACGAGTTCATACATACCAACAACACTGAAATCGGAGTTCAATTGGCCCCTCAAATACCCCTTTTTAGGTCTCTTAAACTCAAGCCCTAATTACCCACTTTTCACAAGTTTTCCATCACTAATTAGGTCTTTGATCACATAAAAACGAGTTATGAAGTCAAAATGTTACCTCCAAGTGATTCCACTTGAATCCCTCTTCAACCCACTTCAAAAAGCTTCAAAATCGCCTAACAATGGAGGAAACTAGGCTAAAACTCGCGAAATAACCCTTTCAAAACATTCTGCCAGGTATTTTAATTCCTTCTTCGCGAACGCGGTCAAGGCCTCGCGTTCGCGAAGCACAAAAATGTCGTTGACCAAAATTTCTCTTACGCGAACGCGACACTGCCCTGGCGAACGCGATGCTTCCACTGACCAACCCTTCGCGAACGCGTTACACATCTCGCGAATGCGGAGAACAATTTCACCTCGAACCCAGCTGACCACTTCTTCTAAGCGAACGCAGTACCCTTCCCGCGAACGCGATGCTCAAACATCATCACCCTTCGCGAACGCGAAGGGTAAAATCCCTCTGCAACAGCTGAACAAAAACCTGCAACTTTTTAACAACTTAAAATGCTCCGTTGAGCATCCGAAACACACCCGAGGCCCCCGGGACCTCAACCAAAGGCATAAACATATCCTAAAACCTTATTCAAACTTGTACCAATCCTTAAAACACCAAAAACAACATCGAAACCTCAAATTAACCATGGATTCAAGCCTAAGAACTCCAAATTTCTCAAAATACGCTTTCGATCAAAAAGTCTATCAAATCTCGTCCGAATGACCTAAAATTTTGCACACACATCCTGAATGACATAACGAAACTACTGCAACTCTTGGAATTCCATTCTGACCCTCAGATCAAAATCTCACTATCGAACCGGAAACTTCAAAATTTGACCTTTCGGCATTTCAAGCCTAAATTAGCTACGGACCTCCAAAACACAACCCGATCACGCCCCTAGGCCTGAAATCACCTAAAGGAGCTAACGGAACCATCAGATTTCCATTCCGAGGCCGTCTTCCCACTGTTCCGACTACGGTCAACTTTCCAACACTTAAGCTCTCATTTAGGGACTAAGTGTCCCAAAACTCTCCGGAACTCAAAACTGAACATCCCGGCAAATCAAAATAGCAGAAATAAACTTGGGGGGAGCAGTTAATAGGGGATCGGCGCGTAAATTCCAAAAACGACCGGCCGGGTCTTTACAAATATACATACCAAAAGCATACAAACTGATATGTTGTCGGATCATGGTGTGAACTTAACATACATGCAAGCTTGGAGAGCAAAGGAAAAGGCTTTGAAATTTTTGAGAGGTCACCCTCCTGATTCCTACAGTCGCTTGCCAAGTTATTTGTATATTCTGGAGAAGACTTATGCGGGGACGGTAGTTAATTTGAAGAAGACTGAAGATGATTGTTTCTTGTACGCATTTGTTGCGCTTAGTACGTCCATCAAGGGTTGGGAGTATTGTAGGCCAGTTGTGGTAGTTGATGGCACCTTCTTGAAGTCGGAATACAGGGGAATAATGTTAACAACCAGCACAATGGATGCAGCAGGTATTGTAGATTCATTGTAGAAATATTGTTGTAAAGTTGTTTTCAGTATGTACTTTTTATACTATCAAATTTTATTACAGAAATTGATTTTCTTTTTTCCACCTGTGTGATAGGTAGCATATTACCACTGACATACGCTGTTGTTGATTCAGAAAATGATGCAGCATGGAATTGTTTTTATGAGCAATTCAAAGATGCGTATGGTGAAAAACCAAATATGTGTGTTGTTTCGGACCGGAATGAGAGTATCTTGAAGGCAACATCTATTGTTTATACCGGAATTCCACATTATGCTTGCATGTGGTATATTTGGACAAATGTAAGGTCAAAGTTCAATAAGGGTCATCTAAAGTTAAGCGAATTGTACTTTGCCACGGCACGATCATACATAATTGATGAATTTAATGAAAGAATGTCAAAGATTGAAGAGATCGATGTGCGTGTTAAGGCATACCTATACAATATTGGCTATCACAGATGGTCTCAGGTACATGATACTGTGAACAAAAGGTGGACGATGACGTCAAACATTATAGAGTCATTGAATACATTAACAAAAGATGCAAGAGAGCTGCCCACAGTAGACCTATTAGAGTACATGAGGACTCTTCTTGAAAGTTGGAATAATGAAAAGTTATTGAAAGCAAATGGTACATTCACATACCTTGGGAAAATATACAACAAAGAGCTGGAGGACAACATGACATTGTCACAAAAGATGAGAGTAAGCTATATCCAGTAACATCAGATCAACGATTCCATCAAACTAAATATATAATGCTAATTGTAGATAACTTGTTGTAAAATTGTAGTTATTTTGTACATATTGCTGACAATTAGTTGTGTGCTTGTAATGAATTTGTAGGTGAGGGCTTCAATAGACCACATCCATACAGTGCTAGACGGTGTGAAGCGCTTTATTGTTTGCCTTCAAAATAAGAGATGTAGTTGTGGACAGTTCCAGCTTGACGAACTTCCTTGTCCACATGCTTTGGCGGCCTTGAGGCACAAGGATGAGTCTTATGAAAATTATTGTTCTCCTTATTACACGAGGGGGAGTCTTTTGAAGACATATGAAACACCAGTAGACTCGCTGCCTGACGAAAGCAAATGGAATGTGCCACAACATATAGCCGACGAAGTTGTAAAGCCACCAACTGGGAAAAGACAGCTAGGGAGACCTCAGAAACAAAGATACAAACCATTTGATGAAGTAAAAGCAAAGAAGTACAAGGTTTCATGTGGAAACTATGGGCTAGAAGGGCATAACAAAAGATCTTGTAAGAATGCACCCAAAACGAAATAAAAATTGATAAAGTAACTATAATTTTTTGATAGATTGTATTGAGGTGTTTTGGAGAATTATAGTTGAGTTGTAATTCTATTTATAAATTGAATATAGACTGTCTCCTATAAGGAAATGTTTTCAACTCTTGAATGCAATTGGTTTGTAGTTTTTTTGTTGAACTACATTTCTTGAGCCAATATCCTTAGGGTGGATTCATCACAACAATAGTAAGAGAATAGGAACGACATTCCCAGTTTCACAAAACTCAACTGTAAAATCAGCAAGTGTTGCAGCACTCTTAGACAGACTAATCAGATGAGGAACATCTGCAAATCTGCACCCTAGGGACATCAATATCTCCCCAACCCACTGACTTAAGACATAATGAAACATCATAAATGTAGTAAAGTTGTAAGGAAATTATATGCTAAAAATAATGAAACAAAGGGTAACAACACAAAACAAAAGTAGTAGAATAAAGTACTAACACTTTTGAACCAAAAAAGGCTCTCCATAGTGTTTTCGATTTAAAGTAGTAGTTTCCTGGACAAAATAACAAAACAAAAGTTAAAATAATTGTAGCACAAATCTGCTACAAATATGTTTCAGCTGACTTGTTCTAAGTTAACAATTTGTCTACAACTTTACAACAAACCCACTACACCTACACATTTTAACTACAATTTTTCTATAGAATAGGGAAACTAATTCTTCTTCTTCTTCTTCTTCTTCTTCTTCTTCTTCTTCTTCTTCTTCTTCTTCTTCTTCTTCTTCCGGACTTGTATTCTCTCATTCGCAGTTGGTGCACCTTTTCTTCTTGCTAATCTGTCAGTCACCTCACTCTCACTAATTGCACCAATATCTTGCTTTTTCCTAGCATAATCCCAAAGTAGAGCTCCATAGCGTCTACGATGTTGATCAATGTCAGAAAGGTCTTCCTTTGAAATCGATAGCTCTCCAATGCTGACATATTCAGCAAATGCCGCAACGTATACACCATAGTCACTGCAAAAAGAAATTAGGGGAAAAGATTAACATTCAGTGGTTGAATAAAATCTGTTAAATAAATAGAAGGAAAAATAGCTTTTTTATACAGTGATCCCTCTTTTTGCTGGGGTATCTCACCGACCAATCACTGAATGTCAAGAGGGTCAGTAACACCTTTTTCAATGTACGCCTTTGTGTTCTTGTAGTTGATGTCTGGACGCTTGCCATAGAAGCCGGTGCATGACAAGTATAAGGGGATCGTAGTTGCAAATTTGTTGACAACAGATTCAACAAGGATGTGATTGTGTGAAGAGACCATAGAATCATAAACATATAGAACCCTTTCGGTAATGTCAAACACAGCCAACAACCAATGAAATTTTCCACATTGTTTATGGGCATAATCACAAAATTAACTTGATCCCATGCAACATTTGCAAGTAGCCTGTACCCCAATATGTATTCTGATACGACGTCCTGGGGTTTGACAACAACAAGCTTCTTATCGTCAGGAGCATTAATGTATCTTTGATAAATTTGTTCAATTCTAGTCTTGAAAATACAGTCAGTGGTTTTAAACTGTGTTTTGTTCACAGGACCATACTTTCCTCTCTTCCCCAAATAGTATAAAATAACACCAATGTGCTGCAAAATAAAACACAGAGTTCATTATTTCTTAATGCTTCAAGCAAATTAACTACACTTTTTAAACAAAAAAAATACAATATTCTCCAATAATAGAATACTACAGCTAATCATTACAATCTACCAAGGTATGTTTTTACCGTGTCATTGAGGACTTGTCCGGGATGTGCTAAAGTGTAAAATCACTCCTTTTTATCAACTTTCTCCACTCCAAGATCATACCACGGCTTAAGCTAGTTTTTTTTACAGAATAAGGCGCCTTCCTCCTATTTAAACACATAGCAATTATAATAAATATGTAGATTCAACTGGAAATCAAAAAATTGTATGAACTCAATAATATGAAAAACTTGTATAATCTAACCTTACTAGAGTATAACCACCTATTGAATTCTTCCAACAAGTCAAGATCAACATCGTCGCCAATAACCCCAGACAATGGATGCTTGAAGAGGAAAATTGGAGGTCCTCCTGAAGTGCTCCCCCCAGAATTGTGAAAAGGGAGAAAGGGGGATCTGATATGCTTTCGAGGCTGCCTTGTTCTTCCTTGTAAAGCAGGGGTTGTGTCATCTTGGATAGGATCGCCAAACTTAACAATCTGGGAGAAGTTTTCTGGCAACTCAAAATCATCAAGTGTTACTTCCCTTTTTTCAGATCTGCAGTTATCTGAATCACCTACATTAATGTAGTCGGTTGGTTCACCTTCAAAATTTGAAACAAAAGAATAAGAAGACATGTTGCATCGGTTCTTTATGGAAAATTGAAACAAATTGTCAAAATTTTTTTTTCCTACAACTGGAATGTAACATATAATACCACTGAAATGTTCACAACAATCATCTCCTGGTTGTATAACGTTTTCATGTTGAATGAGAGATTGAATTTTTGTTGTCTCCTTCTCCTCATTTAAATGCTCTCCTAGAATGCCAATATTAACTTCCTATTTTGGAGAGTCCACATGCATAGTTTCCTTCTCTGTTACAATAAATGTGCGCAACTTATAGTTTGTAGATAATTTGTAGGAAAAATTAACAAAAATGTAGATAAATTGTAGTAAAAGTATAGTAAATTTGTAAAAACGTTGTCCTGCATTTGATATGGAAATTGTGAAATATGATGATAACATGTACTAAATGATACCTGCATTTTCTTCATCAAATTCCCCTTCAAATTTGGAAGACAAATCAACACCTACAAGAACATTCTCCTCAAATTGAATGTCATTCAGGTGGCCTGTATCTAAGAAAACCATTGGAAATATAATATAGATTTATTGTTAGTAATTACGGATATATGTATATATTATATAGATATAATGTAAAGATAATGTAGATACCTTTTTTACTACTGCTGGCCAACACTGGTTTAGCACTACTGTCCGGAATGTGTTGATTGTTCTTTTCTTTGCAATGCTCATCATTTTTCGTAGAACTGCCAGTAAACTGCAAGCATAATTTATTAGGCTATATACTTTTATGAATGATAATAGATGTTTAGAAATTGTAAAAATTATTGTCTAAAATTACTATATCTCGAATGAAACCTTAGCATCAATATTATCCTCTTGAGTGTTCATCGCCTCTAAAACAGCCTTGATTGAATCTTCGAGTAGCAGTCAAATGCTACCTAGATCTTCAAAAACATCTTTCTTGAAAGTTCCAAGGTCCGAACCCACCTACATATTAAAATAGAAAGAGTTAGCGAAATAAATTGCATAACATAAATTAAAGAAACCATCTTAGATTATGTATAGATGTTACCTTATCAACATCTTTTTCTAATTTTTAATTTATTTTAGAATGTCTTTCTTGTCATCTTTTCCAATTGTCTTCTTATGACCGGATGGAGATGGAGAATCTGTCGGATGCTCGGACTTTATTTCATCTTCTACAAGGATGTATTCAACTTTATCTGGCAAATTCATTCTTGAAAGTTCTTCTGGTGCTTCAATTATGTTGGTGAACTGAGTGGGAAAAAAAAAGTGAGAGACCTACTCATGATATGTATTGATCCTCAGTACGCGGAGGACCGAATTAGCAAATCTTGTAGCTATATCCGTGTTGACCGTAGAGAAACACTCATACAACCATATTTTCATAGCAAATGCAAATCCTCGAATGAGATAAAAATGCACAGAAGGGTTGAGCTTGTGCCTAACGGATTCAAGCAAATGTGTATAGGATTGGATACCCCATGCGTAGTTCGCATACTGCCCCGAGTCCACCAAGTAGAACCTAAAATGGTCTATCAAACCTAAATTCTCTTTTTCTGAAGGACATATGAAGAATTCGATGAGATATAAAATACACAGCTTGCCTGCATCCTCATCGTTCATCCAACTACGGGTAGTTACAATTTGTTTCAAGTACGACCTCTCAACTTTTTCCTTGTTCGGGAAATAACTCATCATTATTTTACTGTCATACGTAGTTGTGTAACCAAAGTCTGTCACTTATGTAAAACATCTAAGGCCACTAATCAGGGCAAACTCTCTCAACCCAAAATTCAACCTCTCACCCTTTATCTCTACTATAAATAAGTCAGAACCAGATGCATTCAATTCATACTTCATAAGAAGGTCAATTGCTTGATTTTGGATACATATTTTTGGCAAGGAAAGAAAATACCCAAAACGTGTCTTCTTGAATAGCTTCAACCCTTTTTCAGACAGTAAATCCTTGATTTGGCCAGGAATAGTAGGGTCGCATAATGTCTGGAACTTGGTGATGCCATAATCAAAATCATGTGGTGAAAAAAACTTTCGATTCTGTAGTAAAAGAAACAACAAGTTAATAAACTTGTTTCAAAACCAGATAACAATATAACTACATTTATACTACAAAATATCTACAAGAAGACTACACATGAAGAAAATTTATTAACCTACAACAAATCTACACAATGTAGACAAAATATCTACAAATACAAAAACACAAAAATTATGTATGTTCACGAGAAGGAGAATAAGTTTTTTAGCTTTACAAAAAACAAAAAAAATTAAAACTACTGAAATTTTACCTTCTCCAATGACTGTTGGGGTACGCTTTTAGCTGATTTTTGAACCTTCTTCTTTTTTGAAGGTTTAACATTAGGAGAAACTCTGCTTTTTTTTGTGTGCAACTTTCGTGATAACTTCTTCTTCGACAAAATCATCATCGGAAGCAATTTCTTTGCCCTTCCGTTTTACAGATTTAACACACGTCGAGACTTCACCAGCATCCATATCGTGCTTCTATTTCGTTGGAGCTTCTGCCCTAGCTTCACGAGGGGAAAGTCTAGGCTTGGTCTCGGCTTTTGCATGCTTCGATTTTGAAACTTTTCTTGGGTGAATCCTGTGAGAAAACACCCAAATCAAAAGTAGGGATATCACCTACTTTATCTTTTTT